TTTTTAATATCTAATAAAATAATAATAATATATCTAATAATAAAATATTATATTTTATATTAAAAATCATTTATAATGTAAAATTAATTGATTATTTTAATTAATAATATTTTTATTTTTAATTTTATTATATAATTTTATATTTGACAATATCTTGTTGCTGATTTGATACAATCTCTTATGAAAATATGTTCTTTTTCCGGTTATAAGTTGATAAGGTTCGTACTGATTTTTTAAATAATTCTTTAAAATCCGATTTTCTATTAGAAATCTTTTTAATTTTTAATCGTATAATAGCTATATATGATTTAGATACAAATATTTTATTTTTATTTTAGAAATTTTAAAAAATTAATGGTATAATAAATGTTTTTCTCGTTTGTTCCAGGTGTTCTATTTATATTTCATTCCTATCACAATGGTGAGTATTGAATATTTATTATTAATATATTAAAAATTTTTAAGCAGTAATTACAATTAATTTAATTTTTATTTTGCAATATCACAAACATTAATAGATACATTAAAAATATGATAATATAACATAACCTCAAATTAATATCTGAACAATGCAATAACGTATGAAATTTTTTTAGCCTCGAGAAATCAAAGAAATCAAAGATTTTCTTTTAAAAGCTAGAAGGAAAGATGCAAAATGTAAGTATTAAAGATTCTTTTATATTATTTATAATATTATATGAATATATATATATATTTTTTTTATTATAAAAATTTAGCTGTGAAAATCAAGAAAAATGCCGACAACGTTAAATTCAAAGTTCGATGTTCACGATTCTTATATACTCTTGTTATTACAGACAAAGAAAAGGCAGAAAAATTGAAACAATCATTACCTCCAGGTATTTATTTGTTTAATAATAAAGAATTATATAATTTTTTGGTATGTAATAAAAATATATATTAAAAATAATTATATTGAATTAAAATTTTGTAATAAATATTAATATATTTTTAGGCCTTCAAGTAAAAGAAGTAAAAAGAAGTGAACGTATGTAATTGATAAAATAAACTAACTTTTTAACATATATTGTTTATTTCTCTTATTATTACATAAAAATGGATTTAAAAATAATGAAAATTATAATCAATAATCAAAAATTGGTTTCTTAATTTCATTCAAGTATTGTAAGATTTTAATTAGAGAGAGATAAAATGCATGGTTGATTTAAAAAATGCTTTCTTCTTTTAAACATATGTTGGTAAATATTCTTTCTTTCTGTTGGTGATGTAGACATCAATTTTAATTCATCATATGTATCTATACATATATTTCCACTGTTGCACATTGGTCTTTGATCATAAGGATATATGCGATGATAATTAAATCTCATTTGACATTTCCTTGTAGTATGTTGTGTTTGTTGTTTTAAATATCGTTTTAAAAAACAATATTTTCTTTGACACAATCGAGTTTGAAGTTTCATGTATTGTGCAAATAATATTGCTAATTCATCATAGGTTTCACTTATTTCTGATTTATGATTTGGTATAGTAAAAATATTTTCATTATTAGAAACTAATTTTTTAGGTGTAGAAACAGATGTTTGTTCTGTAGTAAAATTATTTAAATTATAATTAATAAAATTATCGAAATTTTTTGCTAATGAAGTACTGAAATTTTTATCTGATTTTGATATTTTTACAAAACTTTTAGATTCTTTTATTTCATTTTGTAATATGTCTATTGATGATTTCATTTTTTGTTGTAATTTTTTTGAATGTACACATTTATCTAAGTTTATTTGCGAGTTTATTTTTAATTTTGATCTGTCTCTTTCAATTGTATCACTTTTATTTATAGTACACATAGAAGTATTTTCAGTTTTTGAGTTTATATGTAAAATTTGATTTTTTGTTTCAATTATATTAGATGTATTTGATAATGTAGAATTTGTATAAGAATTGTTTGATCTATATAAATATTTAAAATAATTAATCTATTAATTTAAATTAGATTCAATAGCATATTTATAAATTATTAAAAACCTCTTTAATTTGCCAAGAAAAGTATTTGATAAAATATCCGATTTATCAATTGCAGAATCTGAGAAATATTTTGAATCACTAGGTAAATTTTTTGTTAACAAAGAATAAGGTGAATAGCTTGATTTAGATATGGAAATTTTGTATTTTTGTGTGTTATCACTAAATGAATCTGTACTTTCAAATTTTAATTCTATCTGCTTGGAACTAATCTGTCTTTTAGAATTGTAAATATCTCTTGAATTCAATTTACATATTAATAATTGTTCATCACTTTGTCTATCAGATTTTGAAGATATTGTTAAAAATTTAAAATCTGTGTCTGAGAAACAAATATCTTTATCATTCTAGAACAAAAAAATATTTAATTAAAAAATTACATTCAATATAAAATTAAATATTAATTAAATAATACCTGATGTGAGTTTTTACAAAGATTTTTTATATTTTGAGAACTTAATTCATTGTATTTATAATTTTCAAAATCTTTAATATTCCATTTATTTGATATTGGTTTAGGTACATGTTTGTACTTAGTACAAGCTGATGAAAAACATGAGAAAGACATTTTCCAAGATAATTGTTTTCTTAAATCTATATTTTTAGTTGATGTTACTATTTTATTCTGATTTGGAGCAAGTAATTTTTTCTTTTCCTAATCATAAATTTTTATATATGTATATTTATAAAAACTAAATTATCGTGATTATTTGTATATAACAATTTTTAATATATTTTTATAGTACTTGTAAAAGAGTCTTCAATTTATATTTATTTTCATTTTGTTTGTTCCTTTGTTCATCATGTTTCATGTTAAGTTTTGAATTACGCGTATGAGATTTTAAAAAACGTTTTTTATAAATTTCTTTTATCTTAGAAAAAATGCCATCACTCTTATCTTCATTTCGCCGAGTTATATATCTTTATGAATGTAATTTTAGTATAATAATCAATAACTAAATATGCGTGTGTGTATATATATATACATATATATATATATATATATACATATATGTATATACATATACATATATGTATATATATATGTATTATAAATAAAAAATATATACAAATATTACATTGCACAAACAAATTATAATAAACCTTTTAAAAATATAAATGATTTGTCCATAGATATAACGATAAAACGTTATAAATAGAATTATTATAATTAAGATGATGAATAATGTAAGAAATAATTTCCAATTGTAAGAACCACTTTCATTTTGATCAATATTATTGTAATACCTTTTCTCGGTATCAGTCATTTCCAACCTTGTTCGTTTAAGTTGCATGATAATTATGATACAAATTAGAAGATTATAAAATAAACTATTTGTACATAAAATCACTGTATTTTTAAAAATACAATTCATATATTAAAAAAATTATTCATTATTTATTGATAAGAATATCTAAATTGCAAAATAAAACATTTGAATCTATTACATGTTTTTATCTCTTTTGTTTTATTAACAAATATATTATTAGTATGTTA